TTATTTATTCTCTCCAAGACTTAATTGTTTAATTTATAAAATAGGACAAAAGCTACCTACTTCATAGGGTTGGGAGATCATGCACATAGCATACTTAGAACAGTGACAGGCACATATTAAATACTTGATAAATTTATTAATATAAATCCAGCTGAGGGAAGAAAGAGAACTAATGCAGTGGAGATAAGCTGTTCTGTGTACAACTAACTGACAACATCTTCATGGTTATTATCAAAGAAAAAGAGTCAATAATGGGCTGCATTATTTATAGATGTTCTAATACTTCTTGGTGTGTTTGCTTGTTAAAACAAATAATGATGTTTTCCTGTTGCTGTATTTTGGGAAACAAAACTTATGAAAAAGACCTAGCAGGTTAGTTGCCACTTGTAACTTTTGTCATTGAATGACAAATTATGGCCTAGTTTTCTGTATACATAATTTATGTTGATGAATTTCGCTAGATTTTTTCTGTTTTTTTCCATCCTTTTTGTTCTGTTTCTTGCAGGCTTCCTGGTTAATCAGTTATTTCAGCAATGTTTACTACTTGTAAAACAAAAAGGATGAATGGTATGCGGCAAATATAAGTTGATGAGGCATGGATGGAATTAATTTTAATGAGAACTCTCAGAGGCCTGAAATTTGTTTAATTAAGAAGCATGTGCAAATTCTGTTATGCCTTTGACATGTCATATGTTTTCATCTGTTGAGCATTAGTGAACCCTGTTAGGTTAGCATCTGTTGAGCATTAGTGAACCATGTTAGGTTAGCATCTGTGAACTGCTAGGTTTAAAAATTTTTGTTTCAGTATTCTTGAGATGGCATCACGGAAGTTTGTATTCTCCCTAATATTACGGTACCCACCATGGTGCAGATGCTTATACGTTCTGTTATTTAGTACTGATGAAAGCATGAAGAGAGAATTATTCCTTTTTTTTTTTTTTTTTTTTTGAGACAGTGTCTCACTCTGTCACCCAGGCTGGAGTGCAGTGGTGTGATCTAGGCTGGCTGCAACCTCTGCCTCCCAGGTTCAAGTGATGCTCCTGCCTCAGCCTCCTGAATAGCTGGGATTACAGGTGCCTGCCATCATGCCCAACTAATTTTTTTGTATTTTTAGTAGAAGTGGGGTTTCATCATGTTGGCTAGGCTGATCTCGAACTCCCATTTTCTAGATGAAGATAACCAAGGCTTAGAAACCTATTCAAAGTGACATGCCAGTAAGTGGGAGAGCCAGAATTTGAAAATCGGATTTTGATTTTAAAATTTGTGCTTTTAAAAACTAGGCTTCCAACTGCTTCTCTAACATACAGTAAATCAGAAGACTGCATAACTGACCCTCTGCAAGATGACCAGGCTTGTTTATTGCCTGCTGCTCACACTAATCCCTGCCCTCACTTTACTGTTCAATTTTACTGAACAGAATCATGGGTGTAAAGGGTTAACTTGAAGAGTCATCGAGTTTAGTGGGTCTAGCCAGTCATAAGAGTTTATTTTGTTTTAAATTCTGATTAAGTAGGTTTGAGCTGGAGCCCAGGAATCTGTGTTTTAATTGGCTCTGCATGTGATTTTTGACAGTCTGACAGGTTTGGGAACCATTTTAATTTAGTTACATGAATCCCCCCTCCCAATATCATCTTTAATTTTCCTGAGAGGTAGTCATCTAATGTCTGATATCCATTTGTGATAGGCACTCACTGTCACATTGCCAGGAATGTGCAGTTAGTTGCAATGCTGTTTTTCTATAGAAGTAACCATGGATTTGATTAATTTCTTTGGTCAGATTTTTATACTTCTTAGGTTTTGGCATTAAGGGCTCTTAAATCTTCTCTGAACCTGGCCTTCTTCATGAATAAAATCAGTATGTTGTTATTTACCCTGAGGGGTTATCAGTAATTAAATGAAAAAATAAACCTTCCTGTCTGGAAAGATTCTTGAATGCCTTCAAATAGCCTTTTATATAGTTCCCTTACCGTGTCAGTCTATTCTGAAACACTCTCATGTCTTCAGAGTTCCAGTTAGAAGTGTGGATAATGATAGAGGGCTCCTAGATAATTCATTTTGGGATTGTTAGTGCCAGAAATATGTTATCATTTTGCCTTCTCATCAGCATACTTCTTTACCTCTGGCTTTTTCTTTCGGCAAAGCATATGATAGACACCTCTTACGGGTACAGATAAGGCTGCATTTCTGGAAATTTGCTTTACTCCTTAGAGTTTTCACTAATAACTTGAACCCAAAGCAAAACAAATGATTTGCAGGAAGACTTCAAAGCTAAAAGAAAAGACCTTCTTTTTTTTTTTTTTGAGACGGAGTTTCACTCATGTTACCCAGGCTAGAGTGCAATGGCGCGATCTCGGCTCACCGCAACCTCCGCCTCCTGGGTTCAGGCAATTCTCCTGCCTCAGCCTCCTGAGTAGCTGGGATTACAGGCATGCGCCACCATGCCCAGCTAATTTTTTGTATTTTTAGTAGAGACGGGGTTTCACCATGTTGACCAGGATGGTCTCGATGTCTTGACCTCATGATCCACCCGCCTCGGCCTCCCAAAGTGCTGGGATTACAGGCTTGAGCCACCGCGCCCAGCCGAAAAGACCTTCTTATATTGTTTAGAGACCAAAGTAGAGAACCAAAGAAATATTCCATGTCTCTTTCCTATCCAAGGGGAGAGATAGGTAATGGGTGAATGTTGTCCGTAGAAAAGGATAAATGATCAAATGCAAGGCTGGATAAGACTGCTCAAGACCCTGAAAATAATCTCTTATCACTGTAGTTTGATTTGGTTTGGTTGTTGAGACGTATGCTGTCTTGCTTTTCTTTCTTTCTTTTTTTTTTTTTTTTTTTTTTTTTTTTTTTTTTTTTTTTTTGAGACGGAGTCTTACTCTGTCTCCAAGGCTGGTGTGTGGTGGTGCAAAGTCGGCTCACCACAATCTCTGCCTCCAAGGTTCAAGCAATTCTCCTGCCTCAGCCTCCCCAGTAGCTGAGATTACAAGCTTCTGCCACCACACCTGGCTAATTTTTGTATTTTTAGTAGAGACAAGGTTTTACCATGTTGGCCAGGCTGGTCTTGAACTCCTGACCTCAGGTGATCCACCTGCCTCGGCCTCCCAGAGTGCTGGGATTACAGATGTGAGCCACCATGCCCAGCCATCTTGCTTTTCTTAACCAAAGCAAACTTGATCTGTTCTATAGTATTAACTTAGAATATGAGTTGTGTTTCCCTTGAGGCTCAGATACTAAGAAGAGTTTGTAGGTGATAGTCTGCTGCAGGCTTGAGTGAAATATGGTGAAATAATTACTTTTTTCTTCACTAAGTTTGTGTTAGATTTCTAGTTTCAAAATGTTTTTGAATATAACATCTTGAAAATACCACTTTGGGTTAAAGTTTCTTCATGTGAGTGCTTTTCAACAGGTAATTTTAGTACTTTGGACACTTAAAAATTTTTTTTTCTTTTTGCCATTATCTTCATGAATACAACGTTGAACACATTTTTATTTTTAAAAAGTCTATCTAATATATGCAACTTACTGGTCAGAACTGTTAAAGATATGCAATACATTTTCATTGAAATTATAGTTACCCTTTGATTTTTCAGGAAAATGATTCCATTTGAGTCCTTAATTGTGGTCTTTATCGTTTGCACCCAGGAGTTCCAGACCAGCCTGGGCAACAAAGTGAGACCTCAGCTCTACAAAAAGAATTTTTTTTTAAATTAGCTGGGCATGGTGGCACGTGTCCTAGCTACTAGGAAGGTTGAGGTGGGAGGATTGCTTGAGCTCAGGAGGTCGGGGCTGAGGTGAGCCATGATTGTACCACTGTACTTCAACCTGGACAACAGAGCAAGACCTTGTCTCAAGAAAAAAAATTGGGGTCTTCCTCTAGGGGGGAAACATCTCTGTTCATTTGACAATAGAGGTAGTGGGTGGAGGGTAGAGAGCAAAGCCAATTCACTTGACTATCCTTTTAAATTTACTATTTTAGTTCATTTGCGAGAAAGTCGCTCTGAAGTATTGGGGTATTACGTTATAGAGTATTTGGGAAAATGATACAATTTATTATGGAAACTTGTATTAAACTTAATGTTGCCAAATCATTTTTTTTTTTTTTTTTTTGAGATGAAGTCTTGCTCTGTCGTTGCAGCTAGAGTACAGTGGCACGATCTCGGCTCACTGCAACCTCTGCCTTCCTGGTTCAAGCAATTCTTCTGCCCCAGCCACCCAAGTAGCCGGGATTATAGGTGCTTGCTACCACACCTGGCTAATTTTTGTATTTTTAGTAGACGCAAGGTTTCACCATGTTGGCCAGGCTGGTCTCAAACTCCTGACCTCAAGTGATCTGCCCTCCTTGGCCTCCCAAAGTACTGGGATTACAGGCATAACAAGCCATTATTTTTTTTTTTTTTTTTTTTTTTTTTTGAGACGGAGTTTTGCTCTTGTTACCCAGGCTGGAGTGCAATGGCACAATCTCGGCTCACCGCAACCTCCACCTCCTGGGTTCAGGCAATTCTCCTGCCTCAGCCTCCCGAGTAACTGGGACTACAGGCACGCACCACCATGCCCAGCTGATTTTTTGTATTTTTAGTAGAGACAGGGTTTCACCATGTTGACCAGGATGGTCTCGATCTCTTGACCTCGTGATCCACCCGCCTCGGCCTCCCAAAGTGCTGGGATTACAGGCTTGAACCACCGCGCCCGGCAACAAGCCATTATTCATAATGAAAAGCGCAGGATGAGTGCAGTGGCTCACATCTATAATCCCAGCACTTTCGGAGGCCAAGGCAGGAGAATTACTTGAGCTCAGGTGTTCAAGACCAGCCTGGAAAACACAGCGAGACCTCCATTTCTACAAAGTAAATCAATAAACAAATAAAAAGAAGGACTGTATGCTATTAGAGCCATCTGTAACTTTCATTCATGTCATCAATCCGCAGCAGGAAGCAAATGATACGGTGTTAATTTTATGAAGTAATTTTATGTATTGTCTTTTTTTGTGTTTTTATTTTTAGGACCGGAGTAGGCCCTATGACACTTTTAACTTGCACTCGTTGGAGAACTCCTTAATGGATATGATAAGGACTGATCATGAGCCTCTGAAAGGTAAACACTACCCTCCCAGTGGCCCACCAATGAGTTTCGCTGATATAATGTGGAGGAATCATTTTGCAGGTTAGGAATATTCATATGTCCATTTCTTGCTTGGTGTTTTAAGCAAAAATCAGCTTTTTAATAATTTTGATTTTTCTTGTTTGTTTTTTGTTTGCTTGTTTTTGTTTTGCTTCTGTAAAGCATTGTGGAATGTATTTAAAGTTGATTTTTTTCTTTAACCTGGGTTCAGCTACCTATAATAATCAAGGTGGTTATAATCAGTCATGTCTGGCAGGAACATGAATTGGGTAGCTGAGGTCAGTCACATCCTGAGTTATAGCATGAGACCAGCAGCCAGATTTTCTGGGCTGTGTGCATTTGGAATCCTCAGCTGAAACTGGATAATTCGTTTAAGTCCATGTATATATACTGCAAGTAACTGTCAGAGTTAGTAAACCAATCTCCAAAGATTGCTTCAGAAAGCTTCATATAAAGGACTTCTATTTTATTAAAGCATAATCACCTTTCTAGTATAGGAAGTATCACTACCCAGGCTTAGGGGCAGCCAGTGACCCTTTGCATTCTCTGAGGCTAAAACACAAGAAAAAAATATCTTAAAGTATATAAATATTTTGGGTTAAATATAAGGCAGAAAATCTCAAAGTTAGCAATATTAGGACTTCCTGTTTTTAGAGCCTATGTAACTTCAGGACTGATGTTGGTGTTGAATTAATAATTACAGATCTTTTTATGGATTATAGGACTTTTTAGAGACCTTATGACATTTTAAAATACTGTAATGAAAATTACCTATGGAAATAGCCATTATACTTGGGTTAACATCTAAATTTCTGAAAACTGTGAAGAGGTAGCCATGGGGATGCCCGTCTTGTATGAACCATGTCTTTCAAAACTGTGAGGAATGTGATCCTCTCTGGTTCTCTCTAGGCCCATATTATAGTGTGAATGACTGTGAACACCGGATGCTCATTTCCTTGAGCCACACCAGTAATCTCTTACATTATTTTCTTGTCACATTCATGATTTTCTTCTGCTTTCCTCATTTTCCAGTGAAAAGAAAGTAGTTAATAAGTTATAAAGAAAAGAAGGGATTTTGGGGAAAGCTAGTTTTTTTTTTTTTTTTGAGATGGGGTTTCACTCTTTCGCTCTTGTTGCCTAGGCTAGAGTGCAATGGCATGATCTCAGCTCACTGCAACCTCTGCCGGTCGGGTTCAACCGATTCTCCTGCCTCTGCCTCCCAAGTAGCTGGGATTACAGGCATGTACCACCACACCTGGTTAATTTTGTATTTTTAGTAGAGATGGGGTTTCTCCATGTTGGTCAGGCTGGCCTTGAACTCCCAACCTCAGGTGATCCACCCACCTCGGCCTCCCAAAGTGCTGGAATTACAAGATAAGCCACTGTGCCCAGCTGGAAAGCTAGATTATAAGGCCTTCAGACATGGGAAAAAAAATGTTATTTATGCTTTGTTATATTTAGTCACTGTTACCATGTCTTTCTTCAGTTAAAAAATTAGGTACATGGTAATTTAAAGCATTTTTCACTTAGAAGTAAGAATAGTGTTAAGAAAAAACTAACAATATTCACAGACTGTTTCGTGTTTTCAATATCTTTTAAGGGTCCGTTTGCCTTCCTTCTTTACCATAAGAAGGAAGCTATAAGCCTCTTCTAATTATCCTAAAATATCCAACTCCTGTTCTTTATGAATATCTTTCTGTTTACCTTGGTCTGTATTCTTTTGTTCTTTCAATAAAAGATTATGAAAGGATCTTAGATTGTAGTCTATAATTTTCCAAAGTTTAAAAATATTGGTTAAGCAGGAACTATTGTGCTCTGTTGAGTGTAGCACTGGCAAAGTTTAAGGAGAGTACCTGACTGTGAGGTAATGTAAATACCATATTCCATTTATGATGAGCTTTTTTATTGCATGTTCAACTACCTCTGCATAGTTTTCTTCATTGTACTTGTGAGTATGAGGTTTCATCTATAGAAAAAAATCTGCACAAAGATGATATGTCCCAGTAAGTTGGAAGGCACTTAGTATGTATTTTTTTTATAGCTTCAATATGGTTGCAGCTTCACAGTTCATCATATCACCCACAGTGATTTTCTGTGAATGGACTACTTCCCAGTGGTCAGTGACATTGCTGTATCACTGTCCTTTGGTTAGGGTGTTGAGCTTTTTGCTTCCCTTTTTCAGCTGGGAGACTTTTAGATCTGTCTGATTTATGGTACCAAGTGTTTAATCCCTGTTACCTCTACTAACAATTTTGTTACTTGCGGTTTTTTTTTGTTTTTTTTTTTCTGAGACAGAGTCTCGCTCTGTTGGCCAGGCTGGAGTGCAGTGGCACAATCTTGGCTTACTGAAACCTCTCCCTCCTGGGTGCAAATGATTCTTTTGCTTCAGCCTCCTGAGTAGCTGGGATAACAGGCACCTGCCACCTCGCCCAGCTAGTTTTTGCATATTTAGTAGAGATGGGATTTCATCATGTGGGCCAGGCTGTTCTTAGACTCTTGACCTCAAGTGATCTGCTCACCTTGGCCTCCCAAAGTGCTGGAATTACAGACGTGAGCCACCATGCCCAGCCAATACTTGCATTTTAAGGAAAATATTTTAAATAATTTTTTACTTTAAAAAGTGGAGAAAATTATAAAAAAAGATAACTAAAAAATGAAGATTGCAATGGTGTGTTCTTTGTTTGATTCCCATATAATAAACATTGTCCATGCTTCTGTCAGATCTTTGTAATTTATTGGTAGGCCTTGACTTTAGACTTTTAGGTTGTTTCCAGTTTTGCCTTCATTACAGGTAATGCTGCCATGGATGAGTTCTTTCACATAGCTTTTCCTTAAGGTAAATTCATAGTTAGAGTCTTTGGGTCAAAAGATATAAACATTTAGGTGGATTGAGCTTTAAGAGAAGGATGGTAGGCTAGAGGAACTACCATGTGGCTTCTGTATGAGTCTGTCCAGAAACACTTCCCTTTATACCATCTTGTTTTTCTTCCTGCTTTCAATATCCTTTATTCCTACTTGAACATGGGGACACTGTTTTGAGGGCCTCAAAACCCAAGTACAGAGTAATGTTTTTATTTTGTTGTTGTCATTTGTTTATTTGTTTTGAGACGAAGTCTCACTCTTGTCGCCTAGGCTGCAGTGCAATGGCACAATTGCCGCTCACTGGATTCAGGTGATTCTTTTGCCTCAGTCTCCCGAGTAGCTGGGATTACAGGCACCTACTACCATGCCCAGCTAATTTTTGTATTTTTAATAGATATGGGGTTTTACCACGTTGGCCAGACTACTGTTCTCAAATGCCTAATCTCAGGCGTTCCACCTGCCTCAGCCTCCCAAAGTGCTGGGATTACAGGCGTGAGCACCGCACCCCATCCCAGAGTAGCTGGTTTTTGTTTTCCCTTTTACTTCAGAAAAAAAATACATGTTTACTCATTACAAGAAATCCAGGCCAGGTGCGGTGGCTCATGCCTGTAATCTCAGGACTTTGGGAGGCCGAGACAGGTGGATCAGGAGTTCAAGATCAGGCTGACCAACATGGTGAAACACTGTCTCTACTAAAAATACAAAAACTAGTCAGGCGTGGTAACATGTGCCTGTAATCCCTGCTACTCAGGAGACTGAGGCAGAAGAATCCCTTGAACCTGGGAGGCGGAGGTTGCAGTGAGCCGAGATCACACCACTGCACTCCATCCTGGGTGACAGAGTGAGACTCCATCTCAAGCAAAACAAAACAAAACAGAGAAATTCAAATAGTATATAAAAGGACAAAAAGGAAAGTTATAAAAATTTCTCACCAGAGACTCTCTACCTAGAGGTAAAAAAGGTTATTATTTTTATTAACATTCTTCAAGATATTTTATATTCTCCATATAGCAGATGACATTTCAACTCAGCCTTTCTGACTTTGCAGTCAGTGAAACCTGGGTGTGAATTCTATCTCTGCCTCTGGCTGTCTGTTAATCTGGATAAATTAGCCTCTTCAAAGCCTCAATGTCCTTATTGTTAAAATAAATTACCTACTTTATAGAGTGAGTTTGAAGATCAAATAAAGTCCCTGGCACTAGAAACTGCTCAAAACAAAACAAAGAAACTCAAATAGTACGTAAAAGGACAAAAAGGAAAATTTATTAAAAAATCACCAGAGATTATCTACCTAGAGGTAACAGGTTATTGTTTTTATTAACATCCTTCCAGATATTTTATATTCTTCATACAGGAGGTGAAATTTCAACTCAGCCTTTCTGACTGAGTTGCAGTCAGTGAAACCTGGGTGTGAGTTCTGGCTCTGTGAATTCTATTCACAATTTTTTGCTGGAAGTAGTCATGGTATCCTTACAATACTGACTTCTTTCCAACTAGACTGCAGCTAAATGTGAAATTTTTCAGATACAAGGTGTCAAAATTTTATATTTTTCATAAATAAGTAGTGATTATTGAAGGATAAATGTCTTATCATTTTCAAAGCCACTTAAGGGAGAAAGGAAAATAATTTTTTGGTTATTTTGGCTTTCCAAAATTGTATATCTGAATAACATAAAAAATATAGGATATCCAATTTATGGAGAATAAAGTACTTCAAGATGTACTTAAAGAACGTGGTAAAAATATGTTCACAATTATATTTTATCTTATAAATATATTTAGTAAAAAATCCCTTTATTCAACTGTCCTGATTCAAGGGAAAAAAAGGATTAGGGTGGGAGATGACAGAATAGGAAGTTTAGGAGATAATGAGACTTCTGTTTTAGTAAAGTAAATAAGCTTTAATAGTTTTTTGGTCATGTATTCAGTTGACCAGCCTTGAAAATATTTGTAGGAAATTTTAAAAGTTTCCCTATGTCATCCCCCATGATAAAAATTATATAGAAGAAAAGCTGTTGAACTTTCTTCACAGCATGCTGAAAAATACCTTCTACAGCATTAATCAGATCACAAAATGAGTTTTTAAATAAAAAATGGATTAATTTATTTTTTATTTTTATTTTTATTTTCAAGAGACGGAGTCTTGCTCTGTCACCCAGGCTAGAGTGTAGTGGCGCGAT